AGACAATTGAGTCACCCCCAAGGTCCCCCCATGGCTCGTCCTCCATCTCCGCGGGCGGGGAGGGAAGATGAGGGTCCTACCTGGGAGGGCGGCCAGGAGGAGGAGGAGGAGGATGGAGAAGGGGTCTGAACCTCCAGACACCCGGGGGGTCCCTCACTTTCTGTTCGAAGGCCTCTGTCTTCACCTTCAGCAGCTTCCCCATGGAATGGGTGCGACAGGCACCTGGGAAGGGTCTGGAGTTTGTCGCGGGTATTGAAAGTGGTGGTAGCACCTTCTACGCGCCGTCGGTGAAGGGTCGCTTCACCATCTCCAAGGACAACTCCCAGAGCACGCTCATGCTGCAGATGAAGGACCTCAAGGAGGACGACACGGCCACCTACTACTGTGCCAAAGCTGCTGGTAGTTATAGTTGTGGTTACGGTGCTACTGGTGCTGCTGGTGGCCCCGACCCCATCACCGTGTCCCCACATCCCTGACCCGGGTCCCCACATCTCAGCATCTCCCTGACACCCCACACCCAGCCTGGCCCCTTCCACCAAACATGGACCATGCTCCCAACCCAGGTCTTTGCCCCAAGTGTTGACCATTGGCCCTAAGCCCACCACGGACCCCTCTTCTGAACCCCGAGATAGGGGTCTGGGCTGGGAACAAAGGTTTTGGGGAAGATGCTGGGATTTTGGGATGTTGGGCAGGGATGTCAGGGCTCAGTTCAGGGGAACTGAGAAATGGACCAAGGATTTTGGGAAGATCCCAGGTGTCTCTTTACCCCAGCCTGTGCCGGGGCTGCTGGAGGTGACACCAGAGCACTGGCAGAGGGGCTTCAGGGCAGGTATTAGATTTGGGCCAAAGCCAGTCAAGGGTTGGGCAAAGAGTCAAGATTTGGGCAAAAAGTGCTCAACAGTTTGGCAAAGAGTCAAGGTTGGTGCCAAAAGGGGTTGAGGGTCGGGGAAAATGGTCAAGATTTGGTACAAAAGTGGTTGAATTTGGGGGAGGAGGTTAACACTTGGGGCAAAGAGTCAAGATTGGGGAAAAGTTGGTTGATTTGTGGCAGAAATTGGTGAGATTTGGTAGGAATGGTTGGGATTTACGGATAAATCATTCAAGGTTGAAGGAAACGGTCAAAGCTCAGGGAAAGGACCTGGGTTGGGTGAAGGGTTTGAGGAAGATGTGGGGACCCAGCACAGGGATGTGGGGACACGGTGATGGGGTCGGGGCCACCAGCAGCACCATAACCCCAACCATCACCACCAGCACTTTTGGCGCAGTAGTAGGTGGCCGTGTCGTCCTCCTTGAGGCTGTTCATCTGCAGCGTGACCGTGCTCTGGGAGTTGTCCCTGGAGATGGTGAAGCGACCCTTCACCGACGGCGCGTAGTAGGTGTCACCATCGCTGTCAACTCAGGTGAGGGCTCTGGGCTTGGGGAAGGGTCCAGGCTGAGGGGAAGGGTTCTGGGGAGATGCTGAGATGGGGGGACAGAGACCAGGGGTGTTGGGGAACGGGCGAGGAGCTGGGGGAGGGATAGCGATGGGGGGACCTTGGTGGTGACTCAATTGTCTCCTTCCTCTCTCCCTCCCCAGGGCTGCGGGCGGCCGTGGAGCTGACGGAGTCCGGAGGGGGCACCGTGACACCCGGGGGGTCCCTCACCCTCCGCTGCAAGGCCTCCGGCTTCACCTTCAGCAACTTCAACATGTTCTGGATTCGACAGGCCCCTGGGAAGGGGCTGGAGTTCGTTGCAGAAATTAGCTACAATGGTAAATACACAGCCTACGCGCCGTCGGTGAAGGGTCGCTTCACCATCTCCAGGGACAACTCCCAGAGCACGGTCACGCTGCAGATGAACAGCCTCAAGGAGGACGACACGGCCACCTACTACTGCGCCAAAAATGCTGATAGTGGTAGTGCTTGTGCTTATGCTGGTGGTGGCCCCAACCCCATCACCGTGTCCCCACATCCCTGCGCTGGGTCCCCACATCTACCTCAAACCCTTCACCCAACCCAGGTCCTTGTCCCGAACTTTGACCCTTTCCTTCATCCTTGAGTGATTTAGCCCCAAATCACAACCCTTTGTACCAAAACTTGACCAATTTTCCCCCAATCTCAACTCTTTGCCTGAAGTCTCAACCAATTTCTTACCAAATCTCTACATTTTGCTCCAACCCTCAACCCCTTTTGGCTCAAACCTTGACTCTATGTCCCACCCTTGACCAGTTTTTGCCCAAATCATGACTCTTTGCCCACCCCTTTGACCAATTTTTGGCTGTGAACCGTCAAGATTTAGCAATCTCAGCTGCTTTTGTCCCCAACCCCCCTTTGCTGTGAGTCCCAGACCCCAACTCAGAGCCCAGACCCTTCCTCTGCCCTGACTGACACCTTCCTGACCCCTTTGTCCCCACCCCAGACCCCTCTCCTCAACTCCGACCCTTTCCCCCCACCACAGACCCCCTTCCGGACACGGTGCCGGGTTGGGGGCCACCAACATCTTCTTCCAACCCTTCACCCAACCCAGGTCCTTGCCCTGAGCTTCAACCCTTTGCCCCCAACCTCAACTGGTTTTGCCCCAAGTCTCAACCATTTGCTCAGGTGGGCTCAGGGCCAACGGTCAGGACTTGGGGCAAGGACCTGGGTTGGGAGCATGGTCCATGTTTGGTGGAAGGGGCCAGGCTGGGTGTGGGGTGTCAGGGAGATGCTGAGATGTGGGGACCCGGGTCAGGGATGTGGGGACACGGTGATGGGGTCGGGGCCACCAGCAGCAGCAGTAGCACCGTAACCACAACTATAACTACCAGCAGCTCTGGCGCAGTAGTAGGTGGCCGTGTCGTCCTCCTTGAGGCTGTTCATCTGCAGCGTGACCGTGCTCTGGGAGTTGTCCCTGGAGATGGTGAAGCGACCCTTCACCGACGGCGCGTAAACTGTGGTACCACCACTGCTAATAAGTGCGACCCACTCCAGCCCCTTCCCAGGGGCCTGTCGCTCCCATTGCATGGTGAAGCTGCTGAAGGTGAAGCCGGAGGCCTTGCAGCGGAGGGTGAGGGACCCCCCGGGTGTCACGGTGCCCCCTCCGGACTCCGTCAGCTCCACGGCCGCCCGCAGCCCTGGGGAGGGAGAGAGGAAGGAGACAATTGAGTCACCCCCAAGGTCCCCCCATGGCTCGTCCTCCATCTCCGC